ATGGTGTAAATAAGTAAATAAATTAATTAATTAATTAATTAATTACAATAATGTATGTATGTGAATGTAATCTAGAATGTTTGTGTACTGTTTGACTTTAAAGATGACTATTCTCAAAGCATTATGATAAAAATTATCGTTTAATGCTGTTTTCTTGTCCTCGTATGTTTCTTAATTTGTATTTATTCTACCAACTAATTTAGAATAAGCATTATCTATAGCCGAATTCAGAGATCATTAATATTACATTTCAAAGAATAAAATTAATAGTCCTTTTGAAAGATGTGATGCATTAATCTGTCATAATTTTAATATTTTCAGTACGTTTTCTTTTAATTTTTACAATATGTGTGTGTTAGGTTGCTTAGAAATATCTTGAAATAACCATATTCAATCCGTATAAAAAGCTTCTATTATACATTCTCTTCATTTTCCATTTATTGAAACTACAAACAACAAACATGTTTTTAACCCCAATATGTATAATCTTAACACGATGGGATATTCGCAACTAGCTGCCACCTGTATGTTGACAAACATATAACACATTCCTCATATGCCAAAAATCTTTAAAAAAAATCATATTAGTAATTTTTAGTAAAATAAGTACCTGATATGATAAAAAATATAAATTTTTTGTGCTTTCTAAGACAAGGTACTTTAACAATATTTTTTTTTAATAAATAGAGGCCCTCAAAGTCTGCTTCATAGATTATTCAGGGTAATTAAGACGAATTTTAAAAAAATAGTATGAATATTTAAGTGAAGCGATAAATAGTTCATTTCAATTTAATTAATAAATTTGCGCTTATGGGTAAGGATATCAATTACATACTTATGATTGCGTTATTTATTAAAGGCCCTTCCGATATTTCTGTCGATAAAACCCTACACGAAAAGAAAGTAAAGATCAATATCGATACAGATATAAATAATTCATGAAATTTAACACGTAAGAACTCCAAACAGCTATTAAAATACAAAATTCTATTTATAATTTATAGGTTAAATTAGACAATCAACTTTTAATGGCATAATAAAACTAATCCGTGGAAATCTAGCATTATCTACAATTTTTTTCAATGAGTAGCAAGTATCTTAACTCAAACACTTACTACAATAATTTATTTTCGATTTTATATTTCGTCGTTGTAACATTCTGACAATTCAGTTTTACATGAAACCAAATTTTAAATATAACGTTTACAAATTTCATTTTGATCAAATTTTATAAACTGCAAAAATATAAAACGAATAAAGTAGTTATGGTTGATATTATTGCATGTGGTTGAAAAAAAAACCATTTATTTGAAGTAGTTGTTGAAATTATTAATTTTCCAAATAATTCACTAGAAAATTATAATGTTGTACACATTTCGCAATTATTGACCCTCATCTTTTAGTTCAATTATTTTATTTGAAACTTGCTTTAATTAAACAACACAGATAACGTTTTAAATATTTTAAAATATATCTCATATTTGCACTTAACATTTGTTAACACTAATAATTTTATTAATTAATCGCAGGCGTCATATTACAACTAATAATCTAACAGCTTGGCTTAATTAAAAAAGGTCAAGAATGTGGAATTCATTTGGAGCATGTTTTCTTATGTTTAAATAATAGTTCTATGAGTGAATGGTCTTATGAGGATAATACTTTAATAAATCTTGTCGTGACTACATCGGCTTTTTTCCAAAGCTAATAAAACCAAAAAAAAAAAAATTAAATAAAAACCGCTGCCAATTACTTGAGAATCAGAACTTCCTCACCGTAGTAAAACTCGACGTGCTGTGGATTTTATAACAAAAGTAATTTTTGATGTTTCAAAAAAGTCACATTTTTTAACGTTTCAAAAAAGTGACATTTTGACGTTTCAAAAAAGTCACATTGGTGGAACGTCAGTAATATATTTTTTAGACATTGGGATCGATTTTGCTCATTAACGAACTCAATCCCTTCCGTGACCTCTAGAATGTGTGTACCAAATTTGAAAGTTTTATCTCAAAAACTGTAGCTGCTGTCGCGAACCTAGTCGAGGAAATAAAGCACTGAACCTCCGAAATTTCCGCAGCAAGACGGATTTTAATGCGGTTTTTTGCATTCGATTCGTGAGAGTATCAGGAAATTTTGTGAACTAATCTGATGAATAGCAAATGAAAAATTGCATATTTGCATTGTAAAAATGCATTGTTCAAAGTGCATTTAGAATAATTAATTTGCAACTCGGTAAAAATTGATTGAAATGAGTGCAAATTTGTTACTCGGGGGTTTTCGGAGTCGCTGAACACGAATATCTCGGCGGCAACGGCCTCCGAGGTACCTGGAGCCCAGGGTGGATACTATCTACCTCATCTCCTGGAATTTCATGTGAATTTGTAATATATTTAGTTGAAACTCATTACTCGGGGGTTTTCGGGATCGCTGAACACGAATATCACGGTGGCAACTACCTCCGAGGTACCTGGAGCCCAGGGTGGACCTCATCTTCTGGAACTTCTTGTGAATTTTTAATATATTTAGTTGAAATTCGTTACTCGGGGGTTTTCGGGGTCGCTGAACACGAATATCACGGCGACAACGTTCTCCTAGGTACCTGGAGCCCAGGGTGGACCTCATCTCCTGAAATTACCTTGAGTATAGCATCATTTTTATACGAATTTGCATATATTACTCAAAATTATTTATTTATATATTATAATGAAGATGTAGATTCAAACAATATTTTTCAAAAAATAATTTCTGAAAACTCCAATTGTATTTGTAATGTTTTATTGTTTAAAAAAATACCACAAACTTATACAATGAAAAACATTTATTGTTTAATTACACATTGAAGTTTTCTTCTTCATTCTCTTTGTCTGCACCAACACTAAGCGCGCCAAACTCAAAAAATTTTCAGGCTCCAGTAGACAAAGTTGGTAGTATTATAATATTTAAATAAATAATTTAGAGTAACATATGCAAATTCGTTTAAAAATGATGCTATACTCAAGATAATTCCAGGAGATGAGGTAGATAGTGTCCACCCTGGGCTCCAGGTACCTCGGAGGTCATTGCCGCCGTAATACTCGTGTTCAGCGACCCCGAAAAACCCCCGAGTAACAAATTTGGACTCATTTCAATCAATTTTTACCGAGTTGCAAATTAATTATTCTAAATGCACTTTGAACAATGCATTTTTACAATGCAAATATGCAATTTTTCATTTGTTATTCATCAGATTAGTTCACAAAATTTCCTGATGCTCTCACGAATCGAATGCAAAAAACCGCATTAAAATCCGTCTTGCTGCGGAAATTTCGGAGGTTGAGCCGTTTTTAGTGCTTTATTTCCTCGACTAACCACAGACAGACATACAAACAGAACATTTTTTCTGTCTGAAATTTTGTGTATCGTCATAATTCGTCGAGATTCGTCCAGAAATGCAATAAAAATTTTCAAAATTTCTTTCACATGACTTCCTCACTTTGAGGGGTAAGGAAGTAAAAGATAAATCTAGAAATGTATGTTGATAAAAATGTAATGCAGTATTGGCAATAGTATTTAACATTAAAAATTATAATGAAATTGAACAGTTAATGGTGACAACTTGTCAGGAAGTTAATAAAGTTAAATAAGACGTGATTCTGCTTCCATAATATTGTAGATGAGGTAAATTGATGACTGTTATTACCGTTAGATCTAAATGACATTAAGAATGAACATCGTGCCAAATATGGCTCTTCTATCATATTACAATCGCACACATTTTTTTAAACTGTTTACTTACAGTAAGTATATGCTGCTCATGTATTGTTTTAATTTAATAGCAAAAACAGAACTTCACTTAGCGTAATATTTTTTTAGATTTTTAATTAATCGTTATAGTTCGCCCGTCTTCTTCTGAACTCTTGAATGGCTATTATTATATTTTGCATATGTGTCGAGATTGTCAATTATAGTATAACAGATAAAACAAAATAATATCAATACTTAATGACAAATATTTTTATGCCCAGGTGTTCATAGTGATATATGGTTGTGTTTTTATCGTTATCGAGTCTGATTATAATAAAAATGCAAAGACAAGGTGTGTCATGAAATTACGTAGGTAACTTTTTAAAACAATTATATATTTCTAAGTTAAACCTATCTTTTAAAACTGATATACTGATAATAATAAGTGGTGGAAAATATTTTAGAGGTTGAATGTGTTACTTTAAATGCTCAAAAATTGGTTAATCCTAGGATTGACGCGCTAAACCGAGAATTTGCCAATTTGATGTAGTAAAATTGTGTGAATTATTTAATTATGGGCTTTTACCAAGCTAAAGCGATCAGTCTTAGGATTTACTAATTAATATTGGTAAAAGCGAGTTTATGACAATTTAGTAAAAACAAATAACCATTCAAATTTATATCAATCCCCTTTATTAATTTTCCTTGGCCTTAAATGTTTTTTTTTTGTAATTTTAAGTGTTAGAAAAATTACAAAAAAGGGCGAGAAAATTAATTAATGGGAATAACATACATTTCAATGGTTACTCTAGGATAAGGAACACAGTCAGTGAAATCAATGAAATACATGTTATAAACTAATAATAAGGATAAGATCCAAAGTGACCGATTTGCCTCGAGACGTTAGTAGAATTACCAACACGAATCGGAAAATCCTAAGTCTGATCGTTATAGCGTAGTAAAAGTCAGAAGTTATGTTGAAAATACAATAATTTTTCGTAGATTTACCACGGCAAATTGGTAAATCCTAGGATTAACTAGTTTTCTGGCTTTTACAGTAACAAACATAATTCGAAACATAACTTGTTATTTCTGTTACCATAGTACCTTATACAATTAATTAATTAATTAAAGACCACAGATAGTACAACCCCCTGTATCTCTGAAAGTAACTCAAGGAACCTTGTGTGGGAGAGAGCTACACATTTAGAGACAACAGACACACTCATACTACATTCGAGTATGTTAGGGTTGATTTCCGGTTTAGAAAAAAATCCTAGCTCTTCGACCAGGGATCGAACCAGGGTAAGAGGCAAGTGTCTTTACCACTCGACCACGAAGCCACAGAAGTATAACAAGTTACTATTAAAAATATTTTTTTGGTTTTACAAATAATCTCATCTCTTCCCTTTATATAAGCAAGGCAAATGGTGAGCCTCGAAATTGGAACACCCTGTAGATGACACAAATATTAATAATTTGTAATTTATAATTTACCCAGATCAACATGCACGCATTTTATTATTATTTGAAAGGATTTCTTACCTTTTTGTCCAAATTTTAGACCACTAGTATTTACCTATGTAATTGATATGCCAGAATCTAATATTGAATTTCTTGAAATTAAACATATTGTACAAGTAAAACAAATAACTACTAAATGTTTAGAATAGCGGTTTCGTATTTTTCATTAAATAAAACATGCAAGAAGTTTCAGCAGTCCAGCAACTAAAAATGTGTTAGTTTATTGGACCTCTAGTCCATAAATCTAAATATAGTTTATATTATGTTCAATTGTATGTATGAATAATGTTTGATAAAATAACGACGTGGATGAGAAGTACTTATCAGTTCATTCTGGATAAATAATTTATTACATGGCACCTTGCTAACGGATTGCAGAATTAGAATCTATAATAGAACCTCTTCACGTATGGCTGATTAGCTGAAAAAAACGAGGGGTCCGTCCCACTATGTTAATAATTGCAGTCAACAAGCAACTATGTGTTGAGGAGGTCAAGGGAATTCTAAGGAGCTTAAAGCCGAGGAAAGATCCTGGATGTGACAGGATTGGAAATATCGCCCTCAAGAAGCTACCCAGGGAAAGGCGTAGCAGCCCTGGTGAATATTATCAACGGGATCTTGAGGCTCAGATACTTTCCGGGCAGGTGGTAGAAGGCCGACGTCATAGTCAACCCGAAGCCAGGTAAGGATCTAATATTTCCTTCCGCTTACAGGCCCATCAGCCTACTTTCAGCTTTAAGCAAGGTAGCCGAGCGCGTCATCTTGAGAAGAATAGAAGAGGAAACCGAAGAGGTCCAAATCATCCCGGATGAACAGTTCGCGTACAGGACAGGACACAGTACGGAACTCCAAGTACTCAGGATCACCGAAGAAGTCACCAAAGGTTTCAACCAAAGACAGGTCACGGCGGCACTACTCCTGGACGTTGCGAAGGCTTTCGACAGGGTCTGGCACGATGGTCTACTAGCTAAAATGATGAGTATGGGTTATCCCATTGCACTCGTCAAACTAGTTAGATCATACCTGCACGGGAGAGAGATGCGAGTGAAGATTAGGGACTGTGTGTCCACTTATCGACCGATGGAAGCCAGAGTCCCCCAATGCTCTGTGATGTCACCCCATCTGTTCGCTGTCTTCACCTCTGATCTCCCAAGGGCCGAGGGCACCGCTATGGCACTCTACACGGACGACACGGCCCTCACGGCCAGATCCTGGAGAGCGAGAATAGCCACCAGAAGACTCCAAGAGGCAGCCTCTCTTCTGGAAGAATGGTGCATCAAATGGAAAGTCGCAGTCAACGCGGAGAAAAGCCTGACGATTCTCTTCAGGAAAGGACGCAAGTAAACCCCTACAGGACACGTTTCCATATTTGGTGAAGACATCCAATGGCACGATTCCGTCAAATACCTTGGCGTAATCATGGACAAAGACCTGACATGGAAACAGAACACCGAAGCCATCGTGGTAAAGACCAAGCGGACGAGAGCTCTCATCTACCCAATGATAGGGAACCAGAGCAGGCTCAGTCTGAGGAACAAGCTTCTGCTAGTCAAAGCCCTCATCAGATAGCTGCCCTACGCCTCCGTAGCATGGGGATACCAAGCAAAGACCTATCTGAAGAAGATCCAAGCCGTGGAAAACGCACCATGGTACGTTAGAAACGCTGACATCTTCAGGGGCCTGGAGTACACACCAGTCACCGAAATCATCCGGGATAGAGCGAAGAAACTGTACACCTTAGCTGAGCAGCACAGGAATGCGCTGATCAGGGAGGCCACTTCCTATGATCCGGCCGACGCACCGAGGCACAAGAGGGCGAAAGTACAGTTACTGGATAACGGGTGAGTATAACTAATCCTTTCCTTACAGATGGACCAAACCACGGAAAATGACATGACAATACCAACTACCTTCCCACAAACCTTGCGGACGCCGGTCAGTAAGCCGACCAGAGTCCGTTGTCCCCCTGGCTCCGTGAAGGACGAAAGTGCTAAGAAAGCACTTAGGCATTCACCTCCTAGAGCTACAGAGCTCATCCTCACCTTGTCCGATGATCCAGACGACAATGTGTCATTTGACACTTTGTGTACTGGCAGTCAATCCCAAGTCACAAAATATCCGCACAGTCTCTGACAGACAGATGACTACCCCCGGGGGTGACAATCTGGCGAAGAAAGAAGACGAAGACAGAAGAGCGCCAGAAGAGGCCCTAGCCAGCAGGGTTCATCAGCCAGGACCCAGGGAGGTTGGCCGAAATCTTCGGCACCGCTCACATTTGTGGGGTCGTTTGTAAAGTAAGCTAACCCGCCCTGCACGAGGCCGGTCCAGGTCTACAGCGATGATTAGGGTAAAAAGGCAATAGTCCTGCCTGGCCCTAGCATCCGAGACCGTCATCAAGCTAATAGGATATTGGCGAACTATGTGTTTTCGTTAATTCTGTAGAGTAAGTGAATGCGGATTCAATGGCCTGCATTCCTATGAAATAATAAGATAATAATAAAAATGAAATAATTTAAAATCCCGACAAATTTTTTATTTTACTTTACAGATTTTACGAAAACACTGCTAATAAACACAGAATAGATAGTGTAACAATGTTTCCAAAACCAGGAAACTTTTATATGGTGATAGTCTACAGTGGGCTACCCTGTATAAATAATTCTTGTTATTTTTTATGGTGCCATCTCTTCTAATTATTGTTATATAATTTTGTTGTCACCTGTGTCCCAAATATTAAAATATTTTACAAATTGATAATTGTGGGTTAACAGTTATAAGTATTGTTTTATTGTAATTGCCTACGCTTATTTATACTAATTGACATTAATTTTAATAGGATATTAAATTTTATTGTGAAATGCATACATGGGCGCAACTAGGGAGGGGCAAGAGAGAACAATTGCTCTCTCCCTGGAAAATGACGGAAGATATCAAGTATCAAGATAAATTACTGGGAATACACAAATATACGTTTCTATTTCTTCCCGAAGTTTGTATTGTACAAAATGTAAAATCTGACAACATTTGAAAACCATGTTTTTTATACTCTCGTCATAAACTTAGACAGATAGACTGGCACTGAAGGACAGCGATATGTTAATTTCATATTTATTTTTATATTTTTGTAGTAAAGGACCTCATTGTATATTTATATGCGTTTGAGAACAAGATTATTTCAGATTTTGATACCAAAGTTGTTGTTTTATTTTGAGAAGTTTTATTTTAATAGGTACCAAACATTTGCTGTAAGTAATAAGAATGGCCATTTTAAGTTTTTAAAGTTTATTTGTTTTTATACATTACGCCACAATGTAGTGCAAATTAAAAGTGCGTTGACTATTTTTTTCTAGTTTTTGAGAAATTTTAATATAGTTAATAAACAAGGATTAATGTTCACATTTATTCTTTTACCGGCCCGACGAAGTAGTTGACCTCATTGCCATTGTCCTGCGGGTTCGAATCCCGCCACCTGTAATGGCAATGTGCGAATGGTTTTGTAACCCTCGTCCGTGCAGCTTCGGCTTTAGATTCGAGGGTTGTGTAATTTTAGTGGTGTTATTATTAATTTTTTGAATTAGTGGGGGGTAAGTTCGGCAGAAAGAAGAAAAGCAAAGTTTTACTTAGTCGACGTCTCGTGTTTTTTGAAACATCCTCAGAACTATTTAAATTAGGTTCTTCTTGTAAAAGTAGACATTTAAAAACTTAAACATGAACATGAACAACGCCAAACACCATTTACTAAAATAATAGTTACTAGTCAGTGGTGTTTGTATTGTTCTTCATCATACTTATTTGTTGTTAATGTTTATGTTAAATTTCTTAATATATACTTATACAAAGAAAAACCTAGTTTAAATAGTTCTGAGGATGTCAAAATACACGAAACGTTGCCTAATTGAAACTTTGACTTTCTATTTTCTGCCCACCTTACCCCCACTAATTCAAAAAATACATATATGATTATGGGTCACTAGATTATTGTTAATAATATTATTATTCTTTACAATTCACTTCTTTTATGTTTTTTAATATAAAATTTCATAAAAACATGCATACCATTTTTGGAAAATTTTCTAGCAACGCCCATGGATACAAAATATTTTATAAGAATACGTTGCTAGCAATTTACAAGAAATTATCTACAATTTTCTAGGTTCTTGCTCATCATTTTCTTGTTCTGAATTTTTCTTTTTTGTAACCTGATATGATGCCACAAGGAACTTGAAAATTTAGTATTACTTACTGGTGAAACAACTTCATTAATCAACTATAAACAATACATAATCACATTTTTATTGCGAAAATCAATAAAAAATTGTCAATTTTGGTGCATTTGAGGATTCAATAATTTAAAAAGGGTTTGTACGTTCGCAGAGAGAATGGAAATTTTATTACATCCATGCGACTGAACAACGATGTGCTACAAAACAACGACTGCTGTTTTAATGACGGATATCTCGAATTTTAAAATTATCGTTATTGGAATGATATATTCTTTTACTTGGATATAATACAAAATAGATAGATGAACCGTTTGGTAATGAAAGTTCTTGAGTTACTTCATTTTTAGTGAGATGGCTACACACTATGCTTTATCTGACTAATAATGTTAGCAAAATTTTTGGGTAAATGAATTGAAAGTAGAGAACCAATATAGTAGCCAACAAGGACACCAGATTTAGCACTTCTTAATCTTTTGTTGCAGAGAATATTTGATATATTATATATGTATATATATATATATATATATATATATATATATATATATATATATATATATATATATATATATATATACACGTATATATGCATAGAAAAG